GCGGGGTACCCGCACGGCTCCTGATGCACCCCCCAGCCCGCAGGCCCGGTCCGCTTCACGCCGGAGCGCAGGCGAATAGAAAGGCTGGAGGGACCTTAACTCTGTCCCTTGGGCGTGTTCGGCTCGAGGCGATGTGTGCTGCTGGAGACTGGCAGCTGTCAATCATTTGGCTGGCACCAGCCTGATGCATCCAGCATCACCAAGGGCCCAGCGAACCCAGCACCTGGGTTTTGCAGGAAGGGGAGGAGGGAAGCGGCGCTGTTTTGGAGCTGATGTCAGCCCTCCCTGGTAGATTTGGGCTTTGGTTCCAGCCTCCAGGAGAGAGCGGGGAATCCCTTGCCTTTCCCTGCGGTCCCGTGGATCTCCCACAGCCAAGTGCATTTCCTCCTAGGTGGCTTTGGAAGGCAGGCTCGGGTCTCCTCCCGTCCTGCGCGCCGCAGAGATCCCTGCTAACCTGCACCCCGATGCCCCCACCCGCATGTGACCCGCAGCAGTGGGTGCTGGGCACTGAGCACCCTACCCTGTCCCAACAGCACCCCCCAGGCACCGCACCATTAACCACAGCGATGTAAGACCCTTCATGTGAGCCATGGGGGGCCTTTGCTGTTGGGCATGGGGGAGAGGACCCCCACCCAGGGCACCGGTAATTTGGGAGGGGGGTAACATCCCTGGTGCTATCCAGTAGAGGTCAGCTGGTAGCCCTGCAGAGGTGAGGCCATGCCAAGGACCAGGAGACTTTGTCGTATAAGCAGACCCTGGGCTGAGCATCCCGCTGCCCCCAGGCCACTCGCACCCTTGGGCAACCCACCAAGACCACACCAGGGGTCCAACGAGGCTCCTGCCTCGTCTGGCAGAGGCCAGCCCCAAGTCAGCCCGGGCAGGGAAGCACCAGGGCGAGGCGTGCAATGCTTCTGCGAAACTCTTGGAGGAAAACAAGAAGCGGCTGAGAAAGGGTGGCTGGGTGGAATCCCAAGTGCAGGAATGAAACCTGCTGCTGCGGGAAGGAGGCATCAAGGCTTGGGCTGACACTGAGACAGAGATGGTAAGATACCAAGACAAACGGCCTTTTTCAGTTGAAAGGAGCCTTTGGCTCGGCCTGAGGTGAATACAGAAACATTAGCAGGAGAAGAAAAATCCATAGGAGAGCCGTGCCGGGGGAGGCAGGCTGGAGAGACCAGGCGGAAAACCAAGAGGAGGAAGTCTGTGTAATGAACCAGCGCATCCTCTCAAGCGGCTCCCTCCTCTCGGTTCAATCTGCTGCAGGGTGTTGCTGCGAGCCGCCGTGCGCTTGTCAGGCTGCACCCCAGAGGTGGCTGCATTATGGTTTTTACATGGTATATTTGGCAGCACATGAAGCACTTCTCATCCAGCTGGTGCATCGAATTGTTCCACTCTGCTGGGATGCTGCAGGCGGGACGGTCTAGAAGTAACTCTATAAAAACAAACAAAAGTCAACCGAGCCTGCATGGTTTAATGCTGGATGCCAAAGTCGAGAAGTAACCTTGCACACAGCCTTAATTTTTTTTCCCTGTGCACAGGGAGTATGAGCCAGTTTTAATAACAGCGTGCTGCACGTGTGTGTCTGAGGCCTCAGGAAAAAAACATCTGGTGTTGCACGGTTTCTGAAAAAGCCCTTGGTCCTGGCCTTCAAGCCTGTGCTGTGATGAACGGGCACGACAGGGCAGAGCTAAGAGTGCTCGTTCCTTCTTGCTAGCCTGGCTGTGAAAGGGAAGGAGGTGGGAGCCTTTGCACTCGTGTGGGAGCGCGTGTGTATATCTGTCTGCCTGTCCCTGCCGTCCAACCCCACTTTTGAAGCTCCGGGTCACTTTCTGCCAGATTTCATAGCGAGGCAGGATCCTCGGAGAGACTGAATTCCATTTTGTTGTTCTATTGTCTAATTGTTTTATGAAAAAAGGCATCTGGGTAGACAAGAGAGCGCCAAACTTGGGTCGCCACTGAGGAAACGGATTCATCATCAACTCTATTATAAGACATCAAAGAATCTACACGGGAGAGAGCCATTATGAGTGCCCCAAACCATGGGAAAAACTCTCATGAGCCTTATTAGCCGTGAGCTAATCCAACCATGAGACACAGAGCGGCAGGAAACTGGGGTTCGTTAAGTTGCACTTCTCAGGGAGGAGCTCGGGTTTGACTCTTTGATTCTCAGCCGTGCTGCTGCCGGTCCCCACCGCACCGCGAGCTCTGGCCAGGCACAGGAGGATGCCCGTGTGGAGCCTGGCACGGCATCCTGGCTTTGGAGAAGTGC